TTTGACATGGTCCTATTTGCATCAGGAATAAATCATTTCTAAACACATTTCAGTTTTGTTCAGATTGTGGTAAAATTACAGCTTGTCTTCCTTATTACTTTGACATAAAAAGTATTTGGGACTGACGGTTCTGAATAAATTTATCTCTGTTGAGGCAGTGAATTAGTGGCATTAACTGATACCAGACTAAAGCCAGTAAAACAGCTCACCAGTTCTGTATGGTAGGATAAATTCCTACTCAGACTGGTTAACCCACCAGATCATATTATGGGAGACCACATGGCATTACACTTAGTATTTAGATCAGGGGTCTTCAAACTTCGCCCTTTTATGATTTGTGGACTTCAACTCCCAGAATTCCTCAGCCAGTGTGCCTGACTGAGGAATTCTGGGAGTTGATGTCCACGAGTCATAAAAGACAAGTATGAAGACCCCTGATTTAGATGTTTATTTCAGTTGCAGTATATTACTCTTGAGTCTGAATGAATGTGAACAATAAAAAGTCATCACAAGTATTTCAGTTGCACTATTCTTTCTAGTTAAAGTAAATTTTACAGTGAGATTGAAGAGAAATTATTTTACTGTTCTTCATTAAAGACAGCTTAAATGTGCTAGTTTGATAGATTTGAAAAAATATTGAACTGAGTTATAGATTATTATCTGCTCATAAGTAGATGTGATACTGGAAGAAGTGCTGCCGCCCTGTATAAATGGGGCTGGACAGATTCTCCTTGTTTTTTGACCGTGGTTCTAATATGCAAACTATTAAGCATATTGTGCAAAACTGCCCACCAAGCACATTTTCTGGTTCCTTAGAAGATCTGGGTGAAGCAATACCACAGGCGATTGCTTGGATAGCAGAACTGGACATCCACTTATGAGGCCATTGCCATTTTCTATATAATTAGGTGGATTGTGTGTATATGGTTAGTTCTCTTTGTCATGTTCTCATCATACACTAAATAAATAATCTGCTCACATAATTTGCTAAAAGAAACAGCATTGTTAAATAATTTACTCTATCAGATGGAAGTCATTAAAATTTAATGCATGTATCTACTATGGTTCTGCAGTACTTGTATATGTGCTGATTTTTTTTAAATAGGCTGAATACGCATATAATATATAGTGCATTTGGAAATGCAAGCTTCTAGGAACAAATAGTTCTAAAGTGCAAAAAGCATGAAATGGATCTGGATGACTTCCATTCTTCCACCTCGCTCTTCTGGCATCATTATGCTTTGACCATCTTTTGTTTTTATCTTTTATCTTTTATTGGTTTCACTGATTTCTTTTATTGTTGTAGGCTGCCAAGAATCATTAATAGTTGGGCAGTATAAAATATTAATAAATTATTATTATGCATTTAATAACTAGTTAACATATGATAACTGTTGCACCAAACAGAGAAAGACTTTATGGTATCATATTAATCCCACTACAATAAGGGAAAGTAATTTGGATACATATTTGTTATTGTTAACCATGATAAGAAACATAGTAACATGATATGTATCACATATTTTTCTTCTTGAAATAGAACACATGTTCTGAAATCAAAAAGTTCTGATGGAGTGTAATACTGACTATATTTAGTTGTTGGACCTGTTGACTTACATAATGTAAGCTATATTACAAATTGACTTTAATGTACTTTCCTGAGGAATACTATTTTCTCTAATTTTTTTTAGTGGTGGTGTTTTGTATTACTGGGCATACATAGATTATCTGTGCAACATGATATGATTGTTTTATTTAGATTTCATCATTCCAATCTTAAATACTTGCTTTTAGTTGGTTGAGAAAAAAACTCAGGCTATCTTCCCACATACACTGAAAATTCCAGGCCAGAATCATGCGAACAAACTATAGTTTTACTCCTATTTTCTGCCATCAGTAAAAGAAGTAGGCATCTTCCAAAACTATTATTATACAAGGACAATTCGGAAATAAACCTCCATTTGGTTATCAATGACAGACACTCGCAGATACAGAACTTTTATTATACACATTAGAAAACTACAACATTACATTACTTTTTGATATAATCACCATTCAACTTGAGGCATTTGTCATAACGTCTTACAAGGTTTGAAATTCCTTAGTAGTCGTTGCTCGGCACCAAATCTGGGCTATGGGGGGATGATCAAAAACATCCCAATGGAACTGCTTAAAAAGTTCTTGGGTGCATCTAGCGGTGTGTGGGTGAGCATTATTGTGAACCAACACCACACTGGAAGTGGTGCCATAGAAAATCCCGCCAAATGTGAAGATGCCAAAGGAGTTCTGCTAGTGAAGTTATGAGGTGTCCCTCTGCATGATCATATGGCCACATTTTAGGTGCTATGCATTTATTTAGTTTGCAGCAACCCTCAGTCACATGACTGAGATTTATGATGGTTTTGCCAGAAACTGGCATTTGCTTCTGATTTCCAGCAAAAAACATCCATAATGAACAATGGGTTCATTTAATGATTGTGGCATTTGCTTAATGACTATCACAAAAAAAGTCAGGCCCAGTCATATGCTAACCCACTTTATGGGCATCATGACTTACAACCCTGATTACCAGGCTCAATTAGGGTCATAAATTGAGGACTGGCTTATTAACAAGACTTATAATACAGATAGTCCTCAACTTACAACAGCTTGTTTAGTTTGAAGTTACAGCACTGAAAAAAGTGACTTATGACCATTTTTCACATTTATGACATTGCAGCATCTCTATGGTCATGTGATTTACTTTACTTGACAGCTGGTTCATATTTATGATGGTTGCAGTGTCATGTGATCATATTTTGTGACCTTCTGACAAGTAAAGTCAATGGGAAAGCTAGTAGTAACAAAAGTGTTACTACTCTAACAACTGCAGTGATTCACTTAACAAATGTGGCAAGAAAAGTCATAAAATATGGCAAAACTCACTTAGCAAATTCTGGACGGAATTGTCATAAGTCAAGGACTACCTGTACCCATCTTTTGTTAAATTTTTGTTTGAATGCTTCTTTGATATTACCATAGTATTAACATAGTGTGTTATCTCAGGGTGGCATTGACTAGGTATTACAAGATCTACCTGTTCTACAGATTGCTATTGCTGGGTAGACAGATGGAAGTTTTACTACGTTTTGCTGTTACAGACCTGTTTCCCAGGTGTAGTACTTCTTTCCAGACAGACAAAATTTGAGCTGACAGATAATTTCAGTGCACAAACATCAACTATATCTTTCTTGTTTCATCTCAGCTAGACTGCAGCAGCTTCTATATATTTGGACAAAACATTGGCAACATTGCTGGTTGATGTGTTAGTGATCTAACCTACAAATAGTAGACTGAGCTCTCAGAGTGTTTACAATCATGCTTCACATGTTTAATGCATTTGTTTATTACATTTCAGGCTGAATGTTATGTTTTTGGGTAGACAATGAAGGAGAAAAAAGAAGCTGAGATTTTAATTCACTCTGCCAAGCAGTAGCAGTACACTGATATTAAGAAAACAACTTTAACTTACCAAGGCCTAACTAAGTGTTTCAACTTGCCCTACCACATGCTTTCTTTTAGGCTTGCTTGTCTATTATACATTTCCAACTGGCTTATCTTGTTAAACAAGTACTGCTAAAAGTTCCAAATTTGCTAAGAGAATGACAATAGCATTACTATATAACATATTATCCCAGGGTGGCATTGATAATTGGTGTCATCAGTCTGTCTTTCTACACAGTTCTTGGATGAACATCATCATCATGGTGGTTTTTATTGCTTTCTCACAGTAAAATATAAAAATATTAAAAGATGTCAGAGTTTAGTAAACATTTAAGTATTATTTTGTTATAATTTAACCAATTATTTTGGTTAAAAAACATATTTTTTAGCAAACCTCTTGTAAATAAGAGTATTATCTTGTACATCAAAATAATGACTAAGCATTTTGTCTGAAGGAATTTTGTGTTTGTTCTATTCTGTTGGAATTATTCAGATTCTTAATTTATGATTCTATTAAATACATTCATATCATTCCCATCAAGTTGTACTAGAATTATATCTGTTTTGGCAGTAAACCTAACAATTTTGGCAAGTAAATATTGCATATAGGAAGATCTGTTCTCAAACTTATCATTGAACAACTTTCTAAAGCATCTCAGTTTTTGGCTTTAAGTTGCATTTTGATTGATAGAATTCTTAGAAAAGTGTGTGTTATTTTCAGAGACGTAACTTATTGTGTATTGTATATGATCATTTTATTTTGGGATACAATTTATTTTGTTTTAGCAACAAAAACAGATTGTAAATATTGTAAATATTTTTTTAATTTGTTCCATCTTTTAAAAATTCATATTGTCCACCTGTATAAAATACTGACAACTCAAAAATGTTTATAGAATGTAAAGAATTTATATCGGATTACTCTCTAGCATGACGAGTAGAGAATCCACCAATGGGTTCTGCTTGTCTTCTGCCCATAGACTAAGTCAGCCAAATTTTTGCTCTGCCTCTCCTCCTGAGACACCTCTTTCCCAGTCTTGACTTAGTCTCAAGCCCGGACAGACAGTTTTTTCTTGGCTCCAGACTTAAAGGACTTTAAATCAGATTGTATTCTTCTATTAATTTCACCCAAAGGGGGGGGGGGAGCGAAGGACAATCGGAAATTCACCCTTCACTGCCTTTTTTATTGTGGCAAATTCATTGTGGCAAATTACAGTGTAGCCACGAGGCTTGCCTTTAGGACAGCCGATCCTGGAAGGCGAACAAAGAGCCGGATGCCATTTTGGCTCCACGTGGGCTCCAGGACCAAGGGAGGATTCCCCACCACCACCATCCCCCTTCCCCCTCCACACCTCCAAACTACAGGGAGTGCCTTAGTTCCCCTCCTTCTGGAACAGCAAGGATTTTAAAATCTAAGCAGCCACAGGGACTGGGATTCCGCAGGGATTTCCCGAAGCCCAGCTAATCCGCGTAAGCCCAGCTGGCCCACGGACAATGAACTGGTCCTCGAAGCCTACCGAAGCTCAGATCTCCCGCGGCTCTACCTTTTAGTCCAGCTGATCCGCGGCTTTAGTCCAGGGCTCCTGCGGCTTCCATCAATAGCTCTCTATCTCTCTTTCTGAAGCTCAGCCAGTCGGCAGGGAGCTTTAAATTGCCATGCGCCTTTCTTTTGTTTTCCTGGAGTTCAGCCAGCAGGCGGAGCACAAGAAGGCTTCTAGTTTTTTTTCCTGGAGCTCAGCCAGCAGGCAGAGAGAAGGAGGCTTCTAACGAGCTCGGGGGACTCAGCCGAGCTGAGGAAATCTATTCAAGGACAGAATCTTCCTCCGCTATCCCTAGCCTCCATCCAATAATATTAAACATTAAATATTGAAAAAAATAAAATAAAATAAATTATCTCTCTCTTAGACTTGCATTGGGATATATCCCATTGACAAATGGCAGACACAAATGCTATCCAGTCAGAGCAGGAAGCCTCCATAAACCCCCCCTGGTCGTAAGAGACAAAAATCATCCAAGCAGGAGGCGGCTGGTAGGATCAAAGCCAGGGCAATTTCTGGTAAAAGACCTTCTAAGACAGCGGATAGGGAGGCCAAACGTCGTCACCAGGCTCTGGAAAAACAGTTTTCTAAAGCTGAGAAGAGGCAAAGCTCAGTGGAGGAGGGACTAGAACCACCTAGTTACAAGGAGGAGGAAATATTTCGCCCGAGAACGCCTAATCAGGAACCTCTGGAAGCAGAGGCTGACGCGGAGCAGGGTAGTGGATCTCCCCTATATGAGGAGCCTGGAGGTCCGGGGACAGAAACAGGCACCCGTATTTCAGACAATCATGGAGCACTCATCAGAACACTTACAATCCCTGATATCTCAGGCCGTCGCTCAGGCCATGGCCTCTTCAAGACACCAGAATAGGGTCTGTGGCTTCAAAGGGTGGCTCCCGCCTTTCCCAAGAGGAAGCCTCTGGGTATCAGGACTCAATTTCCCCCTCCCGGTCCTCCAGAAGCAGTAGGTCTCCTGCAGAGGACCATGAGCTGCCAGATAAAGGGCTATCAGAGGAAGAGGATATATCCCCAGATCCTCCACCATTCGTGGGTCTCTTTAATCCATCTCTATTCAAACCCCTGCTTCACAAGACCAGCAGCACCGCGAAGATCAAGAGACCTTTACTTCCTCAGAAGGGACCCTCAACTAGTCAGGTAACAAACAATGAGGTGTTTTCACAGCCCATTTACACACAACAATTTATCCCCTGCTCCCCTCTTTTCTTTGATTCAGTTCAGAATAACATGGGGGCACCAGGGACTTTCCTCCCAATGGGGGGGACAGACAAGAAAATGTTCAACATAGATCTGGCATTGTTGGAGGTAATAGAGGTTCCGACAATAGATGAACCCATCTATACCGGGGATGCGGCGGAGGCCCTGAAATCAGAAGATAAGAAGATGGACCTCACCAGGCCTCGGCGTGGGCAATCAAGGCAGCCATCTCTACATCCTTTTTTGCTAGGACTTCACTACTCTGGCTGCGCCAACTCCATCTCACCGAAGGAGGAGAGAACCTACCAGAACTTAAGAAGGTTAGTGGCGGCAGCGGAGTTCATGCAAGATTCATCCTTACACACATTAAACTATTCTGCTAGGGCAATAGTGTACAACATCGGAGCACGCAGATTGCTGTGGCTCAAACAGTGGAGAGCTGACATGAAGGCAAAGTGGCGGCTGGCAGCAGCACCCTACAAGGGCGGCTGACTTTTTGGTGAGGCCCTCAAGCCTTATCTGATAGAGAACAAGGATAAATGCAAGATTCTGGCACACCTGACAAGGAGAACGGAGAGGAGAGTCTCCTCCTACCCCTGCAGACTGTCCTTTCGATCTGACATAGGCACAGAACAAGGTTCCTTTTCCTGCCCCTATCAGCCTAGGTCAGACCGACAGGGTGAGAGAACTGGCAACAGGGACAGATTCAGACAACAGTTCCAATCAAAGCAGCCCTTTCGGGGAGCGGGAGGTTGCCCCTACCGAAGATCCAAGTGATGGCAGGGAGGACTCCCCCATTGGTGGCAGGCTAGCTCTCTTCGCTCACAAATGGCAAGCCACCACCATGGACCTTTGGGTCCTAAATACTGTCAGATTCGGTCTCTCACTAGAATTCATTTCATCACCTCCGAACCACTTCATTCCCTGTCCATCTCCAAAGGATCCAACCAAAAGGAACCTTATAAAGGAGGCCATCCAACATCTACTGGACATCCAGGCCATAGAACCGGTAGAGAAGGACCAGCGGGGACAGGGATTCTATTCCATCTTGTTCATAGTCCCAAAGAGTTCGGTGGGGTGGAGAGCAATCCTAGACTTAAAAAGCCTCAACAGCCATTTGGCTTACAGAAAGTTCAAAATGCAAACCCTACAGTCAATATTAGCAAGCATCAGAAAGGGAGACTTCCTGACATCCATAGATCTGACGGAGGTCTACCTTCACATTCCCATACTTCCGGAACACTGGAGGTTTCTCAGATTCTGCCACATAGGGCAGCATTTTCAGTACAGAGCCCTGCCTTTTGTACTTTCCTCAGCTCCCAGAGTATTCACAAAGGTACTGGCAACACTCACAGCACATCTGTGAACAATTCTCATCCAATCTTTATCAGTTCAGACAGCACAGTCAGACCTAGCACTGACCCTAACAACCCTTCAGGAACATGGTTTCTCAGTAAATTTTCAAAAGAGTCAGATGGTCCCTTGACCCGTCTTTTACATCTGGGAGCTGTGATAAACACATTACAGTGCAGGGTCTACCTCTCTCGAGATTGCCAAGACAGCATTCGAACCATGGTCAAATTGGTTCAAAAAAAGCGAACCACAACACTGGCCACACTCTCCCAATTACTAGGAAAGATGATTTCATGCCTTAGGCATGACTACACTCCAGAGATCTGTAGTGGTTCCTACTCCCATTCCAAAAGAGGAGAATGTGCTTATCCAACCGAAGAGTAAGGATGCCACCAGGGGTCCTGAAGTGGGCTTCTCTAGCGCTCAGAAAGGAACACATGTTCAAGGAGACCGAGTAGGTCACTCTGACCATGGATGCCATCTATTCGGCTGGGGAGCACACCTACAATCACAGCTAACACAGGGCCAATGGTCAAGAGAGAACCTAAAACACAAGATAAACTGATTAGAGCTCAGAGCCATTCACCTGGCCCTTCGCCATTTTCACAACACAGTAGCAGATCAGCATGTCCTGGTTCTCACGGACAATATGGTGGCCAAAGCCCATGTCAGTTGACGGGGGCACATGATCCAGGGCTCTCATGACTGAAGCACAGGCGCTGGGAACCTGGGCAGAAAGCAACCTAGCCTCCCTCAAGGCCGAGCACAAATCAGGAGAAGCAAATCATCAGGCGGACTTCCCCAAGCCCCCCCATGAATTGGAGCGCAAGTGGCACATCTTAGACGTTTGCAGGGCTTTAAGATGATACATTAAACAGATGTCACCTTTCCACAAGTCGGAAGCCCTGTTCATCTACTTCCACTCTCACACAAGAGGTCAAAGGGTCACAGCTTCCACAATCGGAAGATGGATTAGGAGGTGCACAGCAGAGGCATACAAGGGACAGTCATTAGCAGTCCAGGCAAATCACTGCACACTCCACTCGCAGTGCTGCCACCTCAGCAGCCTGGGCGACTCAGACACCGATTGAGGAGATATGCAGGGGGTGACGTGGGCATCACCTTCCCCCTTTATAAGACACTACAAGTTAGATAGGTTCGCATCTGCAGAGGCCTCCTTTGGCAGGAGGGTCCTCCAGAGTGTAGTTTCAAAGAGTGGGATACAGATCCAGACTGACAGCTGCCCATAGGGAGGCTTTGGTATGTCCCATTGGTGGATTCTCCACTTGTCATGCTGGAAAAGGGGCATTGTCTTACCTGAATGCCTTTTCTCAGCATGACGATGGAGAATCCACTCCCACCCTTAGGGCCAGTCAGGTCCTGTGCTGGGAGAGGATTGAGCCAACCCAAGATTACATAGCCAACAGCTTTCGCCTCAGTCGAGACTGGGAGAGGGGCGTCTCAGGAGGAGAGGTGGAGCAAAAATTTGGCTGACTTAGTCTACGGGCAGAAGACAAGCAGAACCCATTGGTGGATTCTCCATCATCATGCTGAGAAAAGGCGTTCAGGTAAGACAACGCCCCTTTCGTATCCATATGGTTGATGTTTAACTTGTGAACAATTTCAACTTTTCAGTGAATAGCCTGAACACTTAATATTAATATTGGTCCACTATCTGACCTTCTTTAGTTTGTCCTTCATATGCATATATTTCCTGAAGCCCAAGCAATAGAGAGGAACATTACAAACTTAGGTGTGCTAAAGTTTGTATAACAGTGATCCACAAATGATACTGTACACTCTTTAATACAGGTAGTTCTCAACTTACGACCACAATTGAGCCCAAAATTTATGTTGCTAATTGAGAAATTTGTTAAGTGAGTTTTGCTCCATTTTATGACTTGTCACATTTGTTAACTGAATCACTGCAGTTAAATTAGTAACATGGTTGTTTAGTGAATGTGGTTTACCAGAAAGTTGCAAAAAGTGATCACATAACTCCGGGACACTGCAAACGTCATAAATGTGAGTCCGTTGTCAAGCATCCAAATCTAAATCACGTGACCATGAGGATGTTGCAATGGTCATAAATATGAAAATTGGTCACTAAGTGAATTGTTGTAAGTCAAGGACTACCTGTAGTTAGGGGTGGAGGAATTTCATGCTCTGTAGTACTCATCTGCACTTTATAGCACCTGCTGAATTGCCTTGCCATGGCATTCACCTGTCTTTATCCATGCTGCCTGCCTACAGTGCGTGCCCATACCTTGCAGCAGTTGCCTGTAGCCCACTCAGTCTGTTTGCCTGGGATACAGTTTCAGTAGCATAAATAAGACTTCTGGATTCACGACTCTTCCCACCTAAAGTTCTCACTTAATGACATGCATGGTTCTCACTGGCAACCGGGACTGCCAGGATGGCTTTTGCTAAGCAGTGCTGTCATATCACCTCATGTTTTAAGACAGGGGTGTTCAAACTGCCAGCCCGTGGGCCGGACGCATCATCCGGAACCTGCACCCATTCCATTGCCGGCAATGGCAAAACCATCCCGATATGTTGTGCGACGTCATGTGACGTCACGAGTTTGTCTGTTTTAAGACTTCATCACTTCATCACTTAGCAATGAAATTTTGATCTCAATTGTCAACATAATATCAGGACTCCCTTTATTTAAAATTTCAGTATAGCTGTGATTTCTGTGACCAGTCATTTTTATCTTTTATTTTATGCCTTAAGTATAAATAATGTGTTTAGTTGATGTTAGTATTTTTACATTTTAGAGCAAAAAAAAATATAAGAGTTTATATCTTGATATGACATAGTGATTTTCATATTTCTCTCCTACATATGATAAAGGAGTATTGATGTTCCTTCTTGCTTAAATTACTCAAATTATTTGGTCATCCTATTCTACTTCTGAGGTTGCTGGAGATTTCTGTTGCATGGCTGAAATTCAGAAATGAACACATAAAATTCATAGTATTCCAAACCACACATTAGAAGATAAATGATATCAGGAATTAAATTTGGTTGTCATGTTGCACTTATGACCAATTAACTGGGAAGAACTCATAGCTAGATTGCAATAGTTCAGAGCATAAAAGCCTTTAGTGTACAGCAGTCCTGTGTTGGAATAAACTGTGACTTGACTGCTACTTGAATGCCTTCATTATACCGGAGTCTTGGATTGTGTCCTGATTACACTTTTGCTTCTGTCCAGGTTTTGTTTTAGTTGGACGTTGCTGGAACTTGTATGCTTAATTCTTGGACTTCTGCTTCTTAAAAACTTTCAGTGTTGGAGCATTCACAAGTTCTGGAGGCAGGTTGTTCCACTGATTAATTGTTGATTGCACTGATTAATTGATTGCATTTTATTTTACCAAACCAGCAAAAGTCTTT